CAACTCTTTGTCTGTCCAACTGCTCTTCTCTCTCTTTAGGCTCTAACTTATCATTTACTCCATCCCCCTCCCCCTTTTTTTCTGCATATGAACTGACGTTTCCCCAGCCACCATCAGTTCTGACGAACGGTCACCGGACTCGAAATGTTAACTCTATTTTTTCCTTCACAGATGCTGCCAGACCTGCTGAGCTTTTCCAGCAACTTTGTTTTTGTTCCTGATTTACAGTATCCGCAGCTCTTTCGGTTTTTATTTCGGTTCAGGACCCTTCTTCAGAGGGTCCCGACCCAAAATGTCAACTTTCCTGCCCCTCTGATGCTGCCTGGCCTGCTGTGTTCCTCCAGCTCCACACTGTGTTATCTCTGACTCCAGCATCAGCAGTTCTTACTGTGTCTGAACTGTCAAACAGTTCTGTGCTCTTGGGGTGTTCAATCTCTTTTATATTCTTATTGTCAAACCAATGGATTCTTGCTAATGTGACAGAGGAACAAAAACTCTCTTTTCTTTCCTTTACTATGCAAACCATGTCAGCTTATATCAGATTACCTGGTAAGTCTCTGTAAAGCATCCCTGCTGTGTCACTGCTGACACCCTTCCTTCGTGGTCAGCAGATTGTCAGTGTTTAAATAAAGGACACTTCTTGACTTGTTTTTGAATGTAGATGTTGTGTTTTTAATTCACTCTCCTCTACTCCCTCCCCAAAACTCCCCAGAAGCAAAGAGATTTGTGAATTGCTCTCTGTCAGAAAATACAAGTAGTTTGACTTGACTGTTTGATGTTTGACGTTAGTAATTCCCATTTGTATTGGTTTCTGGCACAACCTTAAATTACATTGATGTTTGTTAGAATGGGGCTGGACCAAGATCTAGATTTGATAACAAGTGATGTGGATCAGGGGAATGGGGATGATATTAGTCTTGGCTCCCATCTCCGAGTCCGTGGATTGTGGACTCAAATCCCAATCCAGTAAAATCCAGGCTAATCCTGATAGTCTGACCAAGAGGCACAGAATAGCAAAATCCAATACACAGCAAACATTAACTCCTCCATTAACAGCTGTAACTATACTTCAGAAATGCTGGCGGCAGACAGCATTGGGACAATGTAAAGTCACGACAGATTTCTTTCTCAAGAGTGGTGTTGGAGGATATAGTGTAGGACAGAGTATTTGAAGAGTAGGAGAAGTTGACACAGCCACTGGTCATGGGGTGGCACGGTGGCTCAGCGGTTAGCACTTCTGCCCCGTGGCACCAGGGAACCGCGCCACATTCCTCGGGCGACCGTCTGTGTGGAGTTTGTACGTTCTCCCTGTGTCTGCGTGGGTTTCCTCCCACAGTCTAACAATGTGCAGGTTAGGGTGGATTGGCCGTGCGAAATTGCCCCATAGTGTCCGGGGATGTGCTGGTTTAGGTGGATTAGCTGTGGGGAATGCGGGGTTACAGGGATGGGCTGGTTGTGGGTGTGGGATGCTCTTTGGAGGGTTGATGCGAACCCGATGGACTGAATGGCCTGTTTCCACACTGTAGGGATTCTGTGAAGTTGCTCTGTGAGCAACCACTCCCAACTTTCCTGCGTTGCTCCGAAATGAGACCTGCCCTAGGTCTGACACTGAAAGAGAAAAATCTGACCTGGCGTTGAATTTTAATTTCTGTTGTGCTTCTGGAGGTGACAGTGTGACACACAAGGGGTGAAAGACGAGAAGGGTGGATTGAGTGAGTGAGCTGATAGAGAGGAGCCTACCAGAAAGGACCAAATGGTCTGTCGAAATGCAGTAAACGTTTTCTAACTCCATTCCCTTGCCGTGTGGTTGTTAGGAGCTGTGCGACTCAACTGATGAGGACTCGGGCTCCATGGAATCAAAGTTCATCAGCATCCTGTGCATGAGGAGCTACCCCCATCTCAGGAGAGGTGAGTGTCCTCCCTCCAAGTGCTGCTGATGCTCGGTGGTATTTTCATCTCTAATCAGCTTCTGCTCAGATGGAACACTCTCTGCCTCTGAGTGAGAAAGCCATGTGCTCAAGTCTAAATCCTGGAGATTGGAGTAACAAGCTCAGGCTGGTGCTTCCCAATCCAGGGCTGTTGGAGGTACCACCTTTCAGATCACATCGAAGACTGAGACCCTTCTTGCTTTCTCGGGCAGATATTAAAGAATCCAAGGCCACGTGTTAACGAGGAGCTCAGGCATTCTCTCAATATAATGGCCACTGCTTGTCATTTTCCCCTTAATTCCCCCTGTTCGGCTACTCTCCAGCTGACTCTCTGATTCTCAACCTTCCATGGTCTTCCCACTCACTGCCCCACCAAAAAATCTCTGTAAATTCCTCACAGCCTTCAAGCCAGCATGGTGGCTCAATGGTTAGCACTGCTGCCTCACAGCGCCAGGGACGTAGGTTCGATTCCAGCCTCAGGCATCTGTGCAAACTCCACACAGACGTTCTCCCCGTGTCTGCATGGGTTTCTTCTGGGTGCTCTGGGTTCCTCCCACAGTCCAAAGATGTGCAGGTTAGGTGGATTGGCCGCGCTAAATTGCCCGTCGTGTTCAGGGATTTGCAGGTTAGTTGGATTTGCCATGGCAAATGTGGGGTCACAGGAAGGGATCTGGGTGGGATGCCCTTCAGAGGGTTGGTGCAAACTTGATGGGCCGAACGGCCTCTTTCCACACTGTAGGGATTCTGTGCTCCTCTTGTGCAGCCCCCGTTTTAGTCACTTCATCTGCCTGCTCCCCATCACTCAAACTCCCTGCCTAAACCTCTTCAGAGATTTTCCTTAAAACCTACCCAACTTGTCTTACTATCTCCTGAAACGGTCTCACTTTCTGTTTGATTTATCCTCCTTTGAATCTTGTTCCGATGTTTTATCATGTTACAGACAGTGATGACTGGAGCCTTGTTTTGAGTTTGGTTGGTAGCTGTTGGGCTTTGATTGGCTACACTGTGTTTTCCTGCAGTTTTCCAAGATTACATCAAACTCACCAACAGAGATATCGAGCAGACCATCAAGAATGATATTTCTGGAGACCTGAGGAATGCACTGATTGCTATTGGTGAGTCTGTACAGCTCATTCGAAACAAAAGAAACCGTGTTCATCTGCATGTACATACACACACTAACACACACGCATACCCTCAAACATGTACACACTCAAATACGTACACTTGCATGCACCTACATGTTTATACACACACACGTGTGCACATACAAATACACACATGCACATACAGATGCACTTTTTGATCTGTACATCCTTGTTTATTATGATCTGGCTGCAGAGCACACAAAACAAACCTTTTCACTGTATTTAGGTACATGTGACAACAATAAATCAAATCAAATCAGATGCACAAGTTTGCATATGAACATATAGACACACACACATACAGACACATACATGCATATACACAAAGATTCATATACATAAATTCACATATATATACGCGGAACCCCCTCTAACTCTGAGCCCTAATCCTGTTTTTTCCCACTCTGTTACCCGCTCCCCCCCACCCACACTGTCAACTCTTGAAGCCCCCTCCCCCCGACGAACCCCCGGTGATTTTGGTTCCAAAGGCACTGAAAAACACCCAAACCCTCAGTCCTTCCCCAGCTGGTCACAGACTGGTACAGCTTACCCAAATTACCATGTGCTGTGTGAGACCAGGGCTCCCCAACTCCATTTTTCTGTTTTTCTCCCTCCCTCTGTTTCTCTCTCTCCCATGTTCCCAAGCCTGTATTATGTCGTCGGAAGTTTCTACTGATTCTCCTTTAATTAGTGCAAACTGCAGATCTTCAGTAACGACTTGTGATGAGGCATTCCACATCCCATGAACTCTTTAATCATCGAGTCTTCCTCCCATTCTGCTTTCTCACATTCAATTCCTTCCTGCTGTCTCACTGTGTGGTTTTTCCCTCTTTAACCCTGTCATCTCATTAAGGCTGTTATTTATTACTTTATGACAAAAACCCTCTGTGAAAATGAGTGGTGTGAATGGGAATTGGGTTCTTAAATTATCGGGGGTAATTCCAGAATTATTTCTACAAGTTCTCTTGTAAAGAGTGAGTCAGAAATGCCGTCAGGAAGTAAACAGACCGTGGGACACCATCTGTCTCTCTCTGTCTGTGCTGCACACTCTATCTCTCTCTTTCTCTCTATCTCTCTATCTCTCTCTCTCTTTCTCTGTCACACACTCTTTCTCTTTCTCTTTCTGTCTATCGCTTTCTTTCTTTATCTCTCGCACACTCCTTTCTCTCTCCTTCTTTCTTTCTTTCTCTCTTGCGCACTTTCTCTCACTCTCTCTCTCTCTCTCATTCTCTCTCTCTTTTGTCACACATTCTATCTCTTTCTTTCTTCCTCTCTATCTCTCTCTTTCTCTCTGTCTCTCTTTTTCTTTCTCTCTCTCTCTGTTGCACACTCTTTCTCTCTCTTTCTCTATCTCTTTCTCTCTATTTCTTTCTTTCTCTATCTCTTGCACACACTTTCTTTCTTTCTCCTCTATCTCCTTTCTTTTTTTCTCTCTTCCTCTCTCTTTTTCCCTTTTTCTCTCTCTCTCTCTCCCTCTCTCTCTCTCTCCTCTCTCTCTTTTCTCTCTCTCTCTCTCCATCTTTCTTTCTCTCTCTCTTTTTCTGTCTCTTACTGTCTCTTTCTCTCTCTCTCTCTTTTTCTCTCTTTCTCTCTCTCTGTTCTGCCTCTCCTCCCTGTTGATGAATTTTGCCCTTTTGTCTGTGTTAATGTGCCTGTGCCTGGACTATATTTGCATTGACTCTAACCGCTCCCACTGTCACTTCCTAGTATCTCCTCTTTGTGTGTTTATGTGTGAGCGTGCACATCCTTCCTCAATCCAGCATACTTCCATGAAATTTTGCAACCAAAGATCAAAACGTGGATTGATTTAGTTTTGAACCTGCCCTGCCATTCTAAGCTCGTGGCTATTCTATCCCAGGCTTTAACTCCTCTTTCAGGCCAGTACCTCTCAAAGCCGCAAACCCCTCACATTGCAAATGTCTGTCTACATCCTCTTTAAATATTTTCAGACATCTTCACAACACTCTGGGCTAGAGAATTCTAGACGTTCACTACTCTCTGTGAGAAGAAATTCCTTCACCTCTCAGTTGTAAGTGAGTGTCCGCTTATTCTGTATCTATGTACCCCCGTTTGAGATTCCTCCATTAGTGGAAATACCTTCTCAATGTCAAGCCCCTTCAGAATCTTGTATATTTCAATAAGATCACCCCTCCTTTTTCTAAACTCCAAAGCATAAGCCTAGAAACATAGAGAATGGGAGCAGGAGTAGGCCATTCAGCCCTTCAATCCTGTTCTGCCATTTGCTGTGATCATAGCTGATCATCCAACTCAGGACCCTGTTTCTCCCGTACCCTTTGATCCTTTTAGCCCTAAAAAAAATATATATTTATGTCCTCCTCCTTGAAAAAATTCAATATTTTGACCTCTAATTAGTTCCACTGTCCAGTACTCACTTTTATGTTTTGCCATTTAGTGCCGGTCTCTGGTTCTGTAACAGATTTGAGGTGCTGTTGGGTGATAATAAAGAGGGTGTTCAGTTCTACCATTGGCAGCTGTGCCTTCAGCGGCATTGGTGCTAAACTCCAGAACTCCGTCAATGACTCCCCACCTCGCTCTCTCTTAAAACTGCTCCGATTGATCAAGCTTTGGGGTCATCTGTCCTTCCTTGATTTTGTAGCACAAAAACTCTATACATCATATCATAATGAAGCTAGAACAAGGCTATGTTGCCTATTGTGTAAGGTCCTGGTTCTGAAGGGGTTAATGTTGATGTCCTCTATTTTGATTCACCCCTCCCCTCCCCTCCCCCCCCCCCCCCCCCCCCCCCGGCCTTGTTTGCAGAGCTGGCCTATTTTCTACTCTTCACACCTACCATTAACACCTATGCTTTATCTATATCACTCCTCTACTTCCGTTAGCACACCCTTTGGCTCATGGTGTCCTCACCATTTGTTCCAATTGCCCATTCTCCTTTGTCAATATCATAAAAATAATAATTTTACACTTCCCTTTAGTCCCAAGGAAGGGTCACTGAAGCTCAAATGTTGACCGTTTTTCTCGCACAGATGCTACCAGACTTACCGAGATTTTGCAACAATTTCTGATTTTGTTTCTCCTCCCCCATTGACCAACAATTGTTTTCTTAAATTATTTCTTCATGTCCTGTTTGAAAGCAGCTGTTAAATCTGCTTTCACCACGCAATCAAAATTCACACTTAATAACTTCAGCTCATACATTTTCTGATTTAATTTTTGTTCCGTTAAAACGCGGGAAGTGTCTGAGGTAGCACACAGTAGATCAAGCCAGATTCAGGTTGTTGTACACCCACTTCTCTGTCTCCTTTTATTCCTAGTTCGTAATGTCAAGAACAAGCCAGCGTTCTTTGCTGAGCGCCTCTACAAGTCGATGAAGGTAAATTATCCTTCTTTTGTTAGCCTCGTCTGTGCTGGGGGAGCCCTGTCGCGAGGTGGGGGGATGGGCCGGTGCAGGGGGAGCCCTGTTGCGGGGCGGGGGGAACCATGTCATGGGGGTGGGGGTGGTGTCGGGGTTGGGGTTGGGGTCAGAGCCAGGGATGGGCTGGTGCGGGGGCGAGCCCCGTCGCGGGGTGGGGGGGGTGGGCCGGGGGGGGGGGGAGCCACGTCGCGGGGTGGGGGAGCCGGTGCAGGGGGAGCGATGACGTCGTGCACGGAAATGTGCACGAAACCTTCATGGAGATGTTGAATTTGAAGCTTTGTTTTTTGGTGCATAATTGAGTGTCACTCTGTACACATGGATAAATATTTAGAAATTGAAACCATTAGTCCTGATACTGGAGTCCCTGTGCCCAGGTCTCCTGTACTGAGTGACTCACTGGTGATCAAACAAATATCCCTCGCCCACAAAGGACTACCGGGCTCTGCCTTCACCAGGCATAACACACCCCCTAATATTATCCCCATCATTCATTCAATATCCCGCTTCTCAAGTGTTCTGTGTTGACCTCCCCATCTCCAAATTGCATCAAGAGATGAGAGGCTTATATTATGAAGAGAGATTGAGCAGTAACCAAAGCGTCATACAGCATGGAAACAAACCTTTTCAGTTCAACTCATCCATGCTGACCAAGTTTCCAACTCACTGGACCAACTGATCTAGTCCCATTTAGCCCGGATCCCTCTAAACCTTTCCTATTCCTTTACTGTCCAAACTTCTCATAAATGCTGTAACCATACCTACATCTACCACTTCCTCTGGCAGTTCATTCTTCTGTGTGAAAAGGTCCCTTTTTGAATCTTTCTCACCTTAAAATATAGTTTAGGCCTTTACATCTGAAGTTTAGAAGGTGACAGGAAATCTAATTGAGGTGCATAAGATGCTAAAAGAGATTGACAAATTAGATGTAGAGAGGATGTTTCCTCATGTGGGGCAATCTAGAACGAGAGGTCATAGTTTTAGGATAAGGGCTGGCAGATTTAAAACCGAGGTGAGGAGAAATGAGGTAGACAAACAGGAGGTTGGAAGAATACGGCAGGCCAGGCAGCATCTGGAGGAGAGAAGGAGTCAATGTTTCAGGTATTACTCTACCAAAATGTTGACTGCTGCTTTCCTCCAGATGCTGCCTGGCCTGCGGTGCTCTTCTAGTCTCCTGTTTGTCTACCTTGGATTCCAGCATCTGCAGTTTTTTTGCCTCTGAGGCGAAGTTACTTCTATCAAAGGGCTGTGAATATGTAGAAATCACTATCCCAGAGTGCAGTGGATGCCAAGACGATGGCAAGATGAGGAGATAATCACATTTTTAATTAGTAATTGGCTGAAGCATTATGGAGAGTAGGCAGAAAAGTGGAGTTGAGGCTGAGATGAGATTAGCCACGATTGTACTAAGTGATGGAACAGGCTCGAGGGGCTGAATGGCCTGCTCCTGGCTCTTCTGTTCTTGTGTACAGGGAGTGAATTCACGCTGATGGCAACATGCTGCATCAAATTCTTACCATCTCGCCAACTGAGCCCCAGCAGAGCACCTGGTCCTGTTTAAATAGCTCTGAACAGCTGCTCTTCTGTCTTTGGTGTTGACTTCAGATTGTTGTTGTTACTTTTTAGGGTGCGGGGACAGATGACAAGACCCTGATCAGGATCATGGTGTCTCGGAGTGAAATCGACCTGATGAACATCCGATACGAGTTCAAAGAGATGTATGATGCGTCGCTGTACTCCTTTATAGAGGCAAGTGCCCGAGGGGAACCATCAAACATGAACTCCGTCTCGGCAGAATACGAGGTTGGGGGATGTGGGGGGAGTTCCTCAAAATGTTCATATGTCCAGTGAAGAGGTGAGTCTTTCCTGTCAGGGTGTGGCTGGGTTTTCCCTGGTCTGTGCCCGCTGATCTACATTGGTGCCTGTTCCCACTCGTGCTTTGATCTTCAAGTTCCCAACCCAGGTCATTTCCTGGGAATGAAGACTGAGCAGGGAGGAAGGCTGGGGGTTAGAATTGCACCAGGTTAGTTTCAGATAGCTAGCACAGACACAATGGGGTGGCAAGGTGGCATGGTGGTTAGCACTGCTGCTGCACAGCACCAGGAACCTGGGTTCAATTCCACCCTCGGGCGACTGTCTGTGTGGAGTTTGCACATTCTCCCCGTGTCTGCGTGGGTTTGCTCCGGTTTCCTCCCACAGTCCAAAGATGTGCAGGCTAGGTGGATTGGCCATGCTAAATTGCCCCTAGTGTTCAGGGATGTGCAGGCTAGGTGGGTTAGTCATGAGTTTTGCAGGGTTACAGGGATCGAGTAGGGTGGTAGGTCTGGGTGGGATGCTGTTTGGAGGGTTGGTGTAGACTTGTTGGGCTGAGTGGCCTGCTCCCATGCTATAGGATTCAATAAATGAGCTGAACATCTGAGCTATAACCATTCAATGTGGTCAGATTCCATGATGTCTAAATTTGACACCAAGCCCTGGGGCATGATTTGTTGGGTCCTGTGACCTCAAAGCAAGGCCAAGAGGCAGTTTGTCTGGTTCTTAAAGGGGTAGAGAGAAAGAAAGTTTGAGGGAGGGCATTCCAGAGGTTAGGTTCTATACTCGTAGTGTGAAGTAACTGGGGGAACACAGAAGAAACCAGAGTTGGAAAAGCAGAGGTTCTCGCAGGTTAGTGAGAACATTACAGAGATGTAGGTGGATGGGGTGGTGGTAGGTTTTGGAGGGGTTTTTGTTATCGAGGTTAAGGATTTCAAATCTGAAGTGACAGCCTGGGAGTGACAATGGGGAAAAAAAAACTGAGGCAGTAAAAGAGCTCTGCAGACATTTGCGATGCGGTCTGTAAACAAATTTGAACAGTAGGCCAAGCCAAGCAGCTGTGACATTAGTCATTGACCCATTTACAGGTGTCACACGGACAAAGTCATCCCAGGAGCAGTACCATCCCCAAATACCCCTGAGATTGACAGCTTTGAGATTGCAATCGGGACTGGCTGACGATATTTGGCCAAAGTGAAGGGTCAGGGGTCATTGTCAGGCCAGTGGAAGAAAAGCGGAGTTTGACTGGAGGTTTTCAAAAACCATCCAGTTACTGCAGAATGCAGCTAGAAACTAAAGGGCAACAGAAGCAGAGGCTGGTTGAGGGGGTGAGGTGTATCCAGGGGGCCGTTGTCCGAAAGGCCAGTGGGAGCAGATTCAATTGGAATAGTTGAAGGGGATTTGGATAATACTGGGAAAAACAGATGTTTGGAGGGTGATGGGGAAAGAATGAGAGGGAGTAGAACTAATTAGTTAGCTCTTCCTAGAGACACAATGGGTTGAATGGCCCTCCTGTGCAATAAAAGTAAAATTAAATCATCTATTCTTACTGGACTGTAGGACTGCTCTCCAATTAGAGAGAGATTCCTGGTGGTAGTTTAACCTGAGGGGACACCATACCTCAGGTGAGGGGAGAGGTTTAGAAGGAAGGTGCTTCATGATAACTTCAGCTGGTGCAGGAATTGAACCTGTGCATTGGCATCACGTGGCATTGCAAACCAGCTGCCCAGCCAACTGAGCTAACTTACCCCATGCCACCACCTGCCCAATCCCGTGTAGTATCCCATCCGTGTCCGTGCAGACTTCCATCCAGGAGGCAGGAATCTCCGCAGTGGTCAATGGGGACAAGAGATGGTGCGGGCAGGATGGGCCGAATGGAGTTCTTCCCCACCACAATAATTTCGTGATTCTGTGAAGAGCGTTCGTTTTCCATTTGTTTCCAGGGCGATACGTCAGGGGACTACAGCAAGGTTCTGCTGGCACTCTGTGCTGGTGAAGACTAGGAGACGTCATCCCATTGGACCATGCTGCTGCTGTCCTTGACCTTTGGAGAAATACAGGGCACAAACCACCGGTATCCAATTGCTGAAGCAAGGCCCTGATGGGACATTGACATCTGGAGAGAGGGGAAAGGGACAGTCACCAATCCACCAACATCCCCAGGCAACACCATGTTTGTATCCATCAAAATGCCGAACCATGAGCTGAGGTTGGCAGTCCCAACGCCCTCTTCATCATGACCAGTCATCCCAGTGAATATACCTTCCATCAGCTCACAATCCAGTCTCTAGATGTCTGTGTTAAGTGACGGTCAGTACTGAGCCCTGCAGTATAATATGTTCACGTTTCTTTGTGTAGCTCCATGGTTGTCCCTCAGCCCCTGGTACTGGAAGGTCTCCCCACCCTCCACCCATCCACCCCTCCATCCCTCCACCCCTCAAAACCAGTCGTCTCATTGTTTTGGGCATTCTGCCCTGGTACCTCAAAGTTACCCTGCCCTCAATGCCATTTCCACTCACTCCAAACTCCACAGGATCCCACAGGATCACTGTCAGAATCCTTATCCCTCACTTTCAGAACGTCTCCATGTCATCTTCGACCTCCTCTGGGTAACAATCCCAGCTGCCCCGGCCCTGCTGCTTCACCCTCAGTCTCCCCGCTCCTGCTCTCTCAATCACTCTCACTCCCTGTCTCTGACAATCTCTCACTCTGCTGCCTGACCTCCGAGTTTCATGAATATTTCAACCATATTTCAAACTATTATTTTCAGCCTAGAGCTCTCATTATCAAAAATGGTGTTTGAAGATTTTGAAGATGTATCTTCTGCGCTACGGGGCCGCATTTTCAATTAGACTCGTTTCCACCTTCACTGCACACCTTCAGATCCCATTGTTCATTCCCTCCCCCTCCCTCACCCTCTCCATTCCCCACCCCTCCACATTACACCCCCACCTTCTCCATCTCCCCACTTCCCCCTTCCACCACCCTCTCACTGATTCTCCCACCCCCAGTAAACCAAACCCCATTTTATTCCCTTAAGACCATAGGACCCGGGAGCAGAAGTAGGCCATTTGGCCCATTTAATTCACTGTGCTTTTCAGTGAAACCCTGCTTGATCCACCAATCCTCAACTGTACTTTCCTGCCTATTTCCCCATAACCTGTGATGGCCTGACTGATTTCCCCCTCAAAACCAAAATCCAGGGATGTACCCAGAGGTATTTAGTTCCAGGTTTAAGCTCAGATAATGGTCACCCCTGGTGATGAATTCTACTCCCCTCCCTCCCTCCCAAAGGAGAGCTACTAACTCTGTAGACAGCTCTGGGTTGTTAAAAACACAGCTGTGAGGAAAATCATCTGGATGTTGAAAAAGTTAAGACTTTTAGAACAACAAAAAAAAACAAGAGAAGTACAGCACAGGAACAGGCCCTTCAGCCCTCCGCTATTTCCATCTGTAAGTGATAAAAGTAACGGAGGTGAGTGAGGAAAAGGTTTTTGGTAGGTCAAGGAATAGATAGTACCTACACCCTCCCCAAACACCATTCATCCGAGGATCAGAATGGAGCATCCTGTCCTGACTCTTGGCATTGAGAAGCACATGGCAGGGGCACAGTATGTTCCCAACGGGCCAACATTTGCCAATCTCAGCCCCCATTCTCTGTCTTCAGCGCATTCTAATGATTCTTCTCAACCCCTTCCCTGTGCTACAAACAAGCTTGCATTATTTTCTTAAAAAAAAACAAATTACAATAAACTTGTGAAGGTCCAGAATTTGTCGTTTTGTCCTTTTATGAAGTTGATGAGTATAATTTAAGTCCTCAAACATTCACCTCCCATTCTCTGGTGGTTGCTCAGGACGAAGGATAACTTGTTCCCGGTCCAGTTGATTGGGCTCTGAGTTGGCTGATGAGTCTAATGCAGGCTGTGCCATTCTGGGGCGATGCGGGATTGGGCATGGGATGTTGGGTGGATGAGTTGCTTGGAGGCTCCGTCCAATGCCTCTCCCAGCCCTGCACCTTCCCGACAAAAAAGGTGATGGGGAGGTGATAGCGGTGGTGGTGGTATTACTGCCGGACTATTAATCCAGAGACCCAGGTAATAGGTTTGAATCCTGCCATGGCAGATGGTGGGATTTGAATCTAAATAAATAAATAAATTAGGAGTCTAATGGTGACCATTGTCTATCGTCAGGAAAATCCCATCTGGTTCTCTAATGTCCTTTTGAGAAGGAAATCTTAGCCAGCTTGGCCTACATGCGACTTCAGACACACAGCAATGTGGTTGACACTTAAATGCCCTCTGGGTAATTAGGGATGGGTAGTAAATACTGGTCTGGCCAGTGATGCCCACATCCTGTAAATGAATAAAAGTCTTTCAAATTGTTTGCTGTCTGCTGAAATGAGCCTTCTCCGTTTTTGTTAAATTGTGGCACGCACTGTTCTTCAACTGGAGCTAACAAAGATTCTATGTGGAGAAGAGCAAGTGTTTTGCCCTCAAACTCTCTCACTCATAGAGTCATGGATGAGAAAGGCCCTTTGGCCTATCGTGTCTAAGTGAGTCATGAAGCACCTATCTGCTCTAGTCCCATCTTCCAGCACTTGGCCTATAGCCTGGATGATTCAGCAAAGTGTGTTACCCACTGAGTCAAACCTGGTCACATCTATTTGTTTTCCGTGCTCTGAAATACACGGGGAAGGTGATGGCCCAGTGCTGTTACTGCTAGACTCTACTTGACTCTATGGATTAATAATGTTCTGGCGACCTGGGTTCAAATCCTTTCATGACAGACAATGAAGTTTGTATCCAATGAATATCTGGAATGAAGAGTTGAATGATTCCAATGAAACCATGGTTGATTGTCAGGAAAAACCCATGGGATTCATAAATGCCCTTTAGGGAAGGAAATATCTGAACTACATGTGCCCCAGACCCACAGCAATGCAGTTGACTCCTAACTGCCCTCTGGGTAATTAGGGATAGGCAATAAATGCTGGCCCAGCCAGAGATATCTATATCCCAGAAATCTGGATTAAGGAGATGTTCTTCCTTATTCCCAATGTTCCATCCCATGAACAAGACAAAATTCCTGAACATTGTGCATCTAGCTGTGCTGTAAGTGTTACATGTAAAATAAAATAGCATAATACAGCAAAATAAATTCTTAATATAACAGTTACAGGTAATGAGCACCTGCTTTCCTATGGGGAAGTGATTTTTATTTAGCACGTTGTTTCTTGGAGTCACGTTCAGATTATTAATGAGGCATAGCTCTGATCGACTTACTGTTGGGTTACACTTGGCATCATGTTGTTCTCCTTTTCTGGGATAGGGATGTCATTGGCAAGGTCAACATTTTGTTAGGCCAGGCAGCATCAGAGCAGGAAAGCTGTTGTTTCAGGTTGGGACCCTTCCTGCTCCTCTGATGCTGCCTGGCCTGCTGTGTTCCTCAAGCTCCACACTGTGTTATCTCTGACTCCAGGATCGGCAGTTCTTACTATCCCCAACATTTTGTTACCCTTAAACTGCTCGGCCATTGCAGTGGGCAGCTGAGGGTCAAGCACATTGTTGTAGTTCTGGAGTCCTGTGTGGTTCAGACGTGGGTAAGGACATGCCCTTCTGGTTTTATGAACCACATGGGTATTGAATGATAGTGTCATGATCACCAGACAACAATCAGGAAAGCTCAACCAATCTCCCAAAACAATGACCAAATCATTCATAGAGCAGCGAGTCTGTGGTGGTGAACCCACCCCAAGGCCACGGAGCAAACAGCTGAAAGGCAGTTTCAGTGACACAAGAAAAGCCTGAAGCAGGAGGGATAAGGAGGTGAGATATCTCCAAAGCAAGCTGGTCTCAGCTTCTGACCAGCAAGTGGAATTCTTTGCACTCACTTCAGCCTTTCTTATAGCTGCTCCAGTGACTGTCAATACCACTGTCTTTGTGGATAACAGCCCAGGTGGGTTCAAAGCCAAATGGCACGGTTGCCTGTTCCAGTTTGGCCTATTCTTCATGGTGTTATCATGTAATCTCCCATTGTCCCAATCCCTGCCCCCGCAACATGTCCATTATCATGAGGTTCCTGCCTCCCAGCCAGAGATCCCTGTCACCCTCTACAACATCAGTCAGTGCTCTCACAAAACAGCCTTTAGTCAATGAGATGTAGTGTAAATGAAGAAAGACTGAACGTTGTGTTTTTTTTGTTTATTAATGGGATGTGCCCATTCCTGACTGCCCAGGCGGCAATATGTTTCTCAATCCCATTCTCCTGCCTTCTGCCCATACCCCATTCTCCTGCCTTCTGCCCATACCCCTTAACCCCTTTGCTGATCACAAACCTATCTCTCTCCATCTAAACTACCTTCAGCAACTTAGCCTTCACAACCCCTTGCACCAATGGCATTTCCTTCCCTTGAGGACATTAGTGAACCAGATTGACATAGCAACTTCCACATTCTCCCCACACCTCAAAGTTCTTCAGAACTGGCAGTGTGAGCACAGCAAGATCCCACAAAGCAATTTTTTTATCTCTCTCTCTTCAAAAGATCATAGGATACAGCTTTCTATGGCGAGAGCAGTAGCCTTCCCTCGAATTTTCTTATCAGTTGCATAGGCCTCTGAGTCCATTGTACAGCAAGAACTTATGGGAAGGTGATGGCCTAGTGGTATTATCGCTGGACTGTTAATCCAGAGACCCAGATAATGTTCTGGGGACCCAGGTTCGAAACCCACCATGGCAGATGGTAGAATTTGAATTCAATAAATATCTGGAATTAAGATTCTAATGATGACTGTGAATCCATTGTTGATGGTCAGGAAAAATCCATCAGATTCACTAATGTCCTTTAGGGAAGGAAACTGCCATCCTTACTTGGTCTGGTCTACATGTGACTCCAGACCCACAGCAAAGTGGTTGACTCTTGACTGCCCTCTGGGCAGTTAGGGACAGACAATAAATGCAGCCTAGCCAGCAATGCCCTCATCCTGTGAATGAATAAACAAAAAGCTCAATGCCCCCAGCAGTTTGCCAACGCCAATTGCCATAAATGGAACATAGTTTAAAGCCCATTTTTTTTGAGCAATTAATGGCAATAAGCCCCATCACTATCTCCCTAAAAGATTTACTAGACTGCTATCCAAAAATCATGACTGTTTGTAATCAGCAGGTAGCTCCAGCACACATTAAGCTGCTAACCCCAATTTTTTATATAAAAGAAACATATGGGTTCTCTCCTCCCTTGGTAAAAAAAAAACGCTGTCTCATCCAGAAAGTGTCCAAAAAGTTCAATAACTTCCAGTTTTTGACATCGTCCGTGAATATTAGTCAGGGCTCAGGGGAAACAAAATACCTGCTTCACATTGACATTTAGGATTCACTTTTACAGAAAGATGGAAAGGACAGGAATGCAGCGCTCCCTCAGCACTGACCCTCTGACAGTGCAGCACTCCCTCAGTACTGACCCTCTGACAGTGCAGCGCTCCCTTGGTACTGACCCTCTGACAGTGCGGCACTCCCTCAGTACTGACCCTCTGACAGTGCAGCACTCCCTCAGTACTGACCCTCTGACAGTGCAGCGCTCCCTCGGTACTGACCCTCTGACAGTGCGGCACTCCCTCGGTACTGACCCTCTGACAGTACAGCACTCACTCAGTTCTGACCCTTTGAAAGTGCGGTACTCCCTCAGTATTGTATTGCCAACAAACTAGAGGTCCCTGATGCTGCATCTTTAAAAATGCAGAATTGCTTCAGTTGCTTCAATTGCTTCAAATGATAATGGAATAGTTTAGGTTAGATGGGGTTCAGATTGGTTTCACAGGTTGGCGCAACATTGAGGGCCGAAGGGCCTGTACTGCGCTGTAATGTTCTATGTTCTATGTTCTATATGTACATGCCCAAAAATGCAGATGTCCTTCAGTATCACATCACTAACAATGCAGGGCTCCCTCAGCACTGCATCGCCAACATTGCAGACCTGCCTCAGCAATGCATCACCAACAATGCAGATCTCCCTCAGCACTGCATCACCAACAGTGCAGATCTCCCTCAGCACTGCATCACCAACAATGCAGATCTCCCTCAGCACTGCATCACCTACAATGCAGATCTCCCTCAGCACATCATCACCAACAATGCAGATCTCCCTCAGTACTGCATCACCTACGATGCAGATCTCCCTCAGTACTGCATCACCAACGATGCAGACCTCCCTCAGCACTGCATCACCAACGATGCAGACCTCCCTCAGCACTGCATCACCAACGATGCAGATCTCCCTCAGCACTGCATCACCTACAATGCAAATCTCCCTCAGCACTGCATCACCAACAATGCAGAGCTCCATCAGTACTGCATCACCAACAATGCAAAGCCCCCTCAGTTTTGCATTTCTAACAATGCTGAGCTCCCTCAGTACCGGCAGTGGGAAAGTTAGTTGTGATTTTATGTTTAGTTGCTTGGAGCAAGGTTGATCAGAAACTGCCTCCAGTTGTCCTTTGAGGTTATTTACACTGTCCATATGCATCGCTCTTCCCTAGCAATTTTGTCAAAGACTTTAAAACCCTTTGATTCGGAAATTCCAATCTGACCACATCTTCCCTTTTCCAACTTTCAATTTCCTCATTTTTCAGAAAGGAGTCAACACAATTTGGCCAGTGGTCACAGTGACCACAACCAACAGCTTAACTTTAGCCAGGTTTTTCACTTCATAATCCTGAGCACCTCAGTTTAGTCAACAACAAAGACTTGCATTTATGTAACACCTTCAACCA